CAATTGTATTAAAATAATTGAATAGAAAACAATTATTTAAACGTTGTAAACATAAAATAATTAAACTATGAATACTTGATTTAACTAATTGAACTTGATCAGTTACATTTTGTAAATTCATAAAACCAGGAATACGTGTAGCAAATTTAACTGTACGATTTGCATAATTTTTAAATTGATTCATACAAGATAACCAAGGTGTACTATTACTTTGACATATAGGTATATTCTACAAAATAATATAAATAAAGATCATTTTTTTTTGTTAGTTTTTTGTATTTTACTTCAAGTGTTTCTTTGTATGCTTTATGAATAGTTAAAATTAATTCTTTACTTTGTTGATCTAATTGATCTTCGTAATCAATCATTGTCCATGTAGATAGTGTTACTAAATACATAAAATATATGACATTACGTTATGTGTGGGTAATGAATAAGAAGAATACATCCACCTACATCAGAGATGGAACCGGTACCGGTCCGAATTTTAGACCGGTAGCTCTACCGGTATTTACCAGTTTCCTACCGCCGTATCTTCTACTAAAAATTTATTTTTCTTCAGACAATTTATTTGTATCCCCCTGGGGAGATAAAATATGAACGTTATTGGCAGTCAAATCCAGTATAACATCCGTTCAAGTCGGATCGAGTTAACGACTTCTACACTACTGCTTCTTTTTAATATCTGAAAAATAATTTAACTATAAACTTACGGTCACTTTCTGAATCACTTGATTCACTAACTGTTCGTTTTTTATTTGATCGTTTATTTCGCACAGTTGTAGGCATTGTTTGAATCATTTGATGGAATATTGTAGTATTCGAAATTTGATCATTTCGTTGAAGCATCATACCTTAAATTAAGAAATTAAAATAGAATAAATATAATAATATTGAAATTTATACGAACGCATATGATGTTTAAATAAATTACTTTGACGTCCAATTCGACTTCCTAACAAAATGTATCGATAATGTTTTTTTAAACTACAACTAGATAATATCAATTACCTTCAACAGACATACCAACTTTAATACAACGTTGAAATCGACAATAACGACAACCATTTCTTGTCGATGCATTTATTTCACATGTACCATTATCCATACATTTATAACGACTTGGTGCTCTCTCTTTAATACTTCTTCGAAAAAAACCCTATAAATACAAAATTAAAAAAATAATCTTTTGTTAAAAACATTGAAGACTTACTTTGCAACCTTCGCAAGTGATCGCGCCTATATATATATATCAATAAATCAAATATATCCTAAAAAATAAATCGTAATTTCCTACCAAAATGAATTCCACTAGAAGGTGCTTGACAAACATAACAAGATATTTGAGCAAATATATCAGCTACACGTGGTGTTTGTTGTATTTCTGGACCTTCTAAAATTTTTATTCATATAAATAAATAATTAAAAGGAAACATATTACACTAACCTTTAACAGTCATTCCAATTAATTTACATTTTTGAAATCGACAATATTGACATTGTGTTCGAGTATTTCTTGTTATCATACATTCTTTATTTCTTACACATTTATATTTTAAATCTTCACCATTGATAGATCGAAGAAAAAATTTCTAATTTTACTTCTCGATATACAATATTTCAATATAGATATATATTCTTACTTTGCAAGCCTCACATGTAATCGCAGCACAATGAAGACCAGATGATTGTTCACCACAAACTTGACATGGTTCAAATCGTGCTTCAAGTAAAATAGACAAAGGATCTGCGAAAACATCTGCTGAATGAGATCCATTTGTTAAATCAGTATAACTAAAAAAATCAAAGAAATAAATTTTAATTAAATATTTATTCGTTTTTTGTATTGTATATATATATATGACACTATTGTACTTAATATTGGACACAGTACAATGTCTGATTGTCCAATATCAAGATCACATCTTCTTCGAAGACAAATCATCTATATATTCATAATTGTATAAGGATAAAAATAGATACTTGGAAATCATTTTTGATTGAAAATCATCCATTGAAAATATTGTTCAATTTTTGTAAGAGTTTGATAGTTTGTTTTACGATTTAAAATAATCAAATGAAATTGAATTAATGTTGTTATTGTTGCACTAATGATATTCGATCTTTTTTTCTTTTATATAAAATAGAAAAGACGAAATGTAATAAAAGAGAAGAAACAATCGATAGAAAAAAAGGAGAGAAAATATGTCTTTGATTTTTTTTTATTTGTAATCTATCAACAACCATTGGCCAATCAAATCGATTGATGTTTGCTTTTTTCTCTCTGTCTCTCTTTCTCTCTACGATGTGATAGTAACATTTAACATGCAATCATATAGAAGAAAAAAAAGGGAAATAAAATTACAAATTGTCAAACTATTGTGATCGTGTGTCCAGCCGTGTAAATTTGCTTATTGTTGAATATAGATCTTCAAGTCAGACACAATGAGTATCTAAAGATAGTTAAATATGAATCTTTACAAATAACTGACAATTCTACTGTATGACATACTCATATATATATATACACATTTTTTCTTTGCTTCTCATTCTTCTCTAGTATGTCTATTTGATACCATTACAAAAAAAACAGTTGCTCTAAATATCGGACATCATACTTCTCCACATATATATATATATAGTCTCGTGTTTTGTGATGCTGATATGATGTATATTGATAAGATTATTGTATTACATCAGTCAAAATAAAATGATGATTGTATTTTAATCTTGATCTTTTCTTTCTGATAAATATAACAAGACTGAAGTTTTTATCTAAAGAATCAATCATTTAAATAATAAAGTTGTGTGAAGAAAATAGATTCGTTATTATTGAAAAAGGATCTAATACAATAATTTCTATTTATCATTCATATCAGTTTAGATTCAATTCGAAACTAAAAAGAAAATATCCGATGCATTGATTCATGTTGACATCAAGTCCTCTGTTTTTCTTATCTCTTCATATATCTTTATAAATTTTTTGTTTAACAAAACCTATTTTCCAAAAACAATGCAGATCAACAAATAAGATATATGCACTGTATTTATTTTCTTGACAGATTTGTGTCATTTTATACAAATGAAATAATCATAATAATACATACGGTAATATTTTGAATGTAGTTGATATTTTATAATTATTTTTTTTCAAAAAACAAAGTTTCTGTTTTATATTTACTATAGATTCTCGTTTTTCTTGTTATTTCTTTTAAAATAATTTAATGTTTCATATTACTTGGAATTTATTTAATAAATAAAAACATTGTATCATGAGTACAATTGCATATGTTGTATTCACTTTTCAATTAGTAAAAGAAACTTCTATTCAGTTTGAAAATAATTTAATTCTAAGTTAATATTTTTCTTCTATTTTACAAATAAAGAAATATGAATCTTTACTTTTACGTGTAAAATAGTTGTCCTACTTTTTGATGACTTATTCAAGTTCTTAAGAAAACTAATCACTTTTCAATTACGCACATAGTTCTTAAGAAAACATCTTAAATTACTGTAGTATCAGAAGAAAAATATAAAATGACTTGCTATTCTTTATTCTATGATCATTTTTATACTTATCAATCTGATAAAGTTAGTCTACAAGTACTGACTAGATTTTATCGATCCAGCAGAAATGGTATGAAATATTTTTTTCTTAGTTTATTTTATTTAATTTGTTTAAAATTTAGCTTGAAACAATACAAATTGGCATTTTACTGTTAACAATTGTATGGATACATTCTTCTTCAGGTTCTGAAGGTAAAGTATTTTCAAGTGATTAGAGATACTTACTACCTTATGACTATTACTCGAGTGATAATCATTACAATACATCTTTTGTTGACTAATTCTATATATAGTATTTGTTAATGAATCTTTGGAATATATATGAGTAGTTTCATTTTAATTGTTTTACTTGTGAGAGTATATGTGGGAAAGATTTATATAATAAGTGAGAGTTACATTTCGATTATTAGTTTCTATAATAAGTCATCTATTCGATTAGAAACTGAGAAGTAGAATTGATCGAAAATTTTATTGAATAGATCAGAGTAGTTTATTTATTTTATCGATAACAAAAGTTTTACAAATCCATTTCTTTTTTATTTAATTTTATTAAATATCCTTTTCAGAGAATTGAAAAAATGGATATACTTTCTTTTGTACTGAATTTAAAATGGCTAAAAGTCGAATTCATACAAAATGGATTTAGTGAATTTTATTTTCTTTGAATTAAATATAAGGAACATGCATTCTAAAATATAAATACAATTCTATTTATCAAATACAAAAAAAATCGAGTATATTCTTCATCTATTAGCGTAATTATTATATTGTTAGTATATAATCTCTTTTTTTCAAACTTAATATAATTCAATATCGTTTATATTGAAGAAATATATTGTGCTGGTTCCTACAAACTTTCTATAAAATTGCATGTATTATCTGAATATTCAGATTCAGTTATACTTGGCTGCTCCTCCATATGAAAATCTTTAACTTTTTTTTCTTCTAAGACTATGTTCCTTTGTATGAGATAGATTTTATAAGTGGAATGGTAGATCTATAAAATAATTATAGTATCTTTCGCTACATACTCTGTTGTTATTCATACATAGTAGTAAAGTTATTAAATTGCGCTGTTACAGACATCGTCGAAATAATCTATTTTATAGCTACTCTTGCTGATGCAAAAATGAGTATATGTATCAACACAATACGAGAAAATTTCTATCATCTGTTGTAATTGTCTAGTGATATCGAGTTAGGTTGTTGCTATCAGCTGAAATAATAAAATAAAATTAAAATATTGAATTAATTTGCTGAATGAAGTAGTATTCTATCCACTTACTGCTTTTGATTCTAATAAAAACGCAGATCTGCTATCGTACGTTGTCTATTTTATATATCAACGAAGAGGTCTAAAACATCAGTAGTAGTTTTGAAATGTTGAACCTATGTTTTTGTTCATTTTAGCGTTCTACAATCGGCCTAAATTCATGTGTCCAATTGAAGAATGGGTCTACAAGGGCAAATTTACACCACCTGCGTGCCCTCATAATGATTTTGAGCTAGAAGATATTTTTATCGATATCAATAATCAGGTCTACGTATCTGACTGTAAAAATATTCTGATGACGACATTGAATTCGGTTGTCAGTCAATCAGTATTGAAATCACTAGATTTGTACACATGCCAAGAAAAGCATAAGGAATGTAAAGAGAAGCAACCAAAAAGTCTTTTTGTCACGTCCGACGATACCATTTATATTGATAATGGTGTTCGAGGTACCATTAATACATGGTCACCAGGTGGACGCAATGGTTCAATCAACCTGGGAACTTTTACTGATTCTTGTTACGGGCTATTTGTTGATACTAATGATACAATTTACTGTTCTATGTCAGAATCTCATATAGTTATAAAGAAATCACTCAGAATTAATACTAGTTCATGGGAAACAGCTGCCGAATACGCTATAGAAGAACCATACGAGCTCGACCAACCTGATGGAATCTTTGTTAACGACAACTTTAATTTGTACGTAGCAGATTGGGAGAATGACAGGATTTTACTTTTCGAACCTGCACAAACAAGTGGGAAAACGATAGTATCTGAAGGAAAAATAACCGATATCTGGCTTCATAAACCAACAGATATTACATTGGATGCTGATGACAATTTATATATTGTAGACAGCCATAATACTCGAATCATATTTGTCAACTCAGAGTTTACTCAGTATCGATGTTTAGTCGGCTGTCCTAAAAACTCGAATTACAAGAACGTCAAAGATCAAGAGATGCTAGATAGTATCAGTTTCGATCGATCTGGAAATATGCTTGTTAGTGACCCAAAAAAAAAGCAAATTCTAAAATTTACTCCCAAATTTAACTCCACATCGGAAAACTGTGGTAAGTGAAATTAACACTGAATAGAAAGCAGACTATTACTCAAGCTAATTCTAATTAAATGGATCGAACTTGAATTTATTTTCAACGCTGTAAATATGATTTTGATAACCATATAATTAACCATATTCTTACATTTTGACAACATATTTTTCTCGTTGAATAAAAGAAAACAACATAGAATTTCTAGATAGGATCATACCAATCTGTCTAATAAAGATCCCATGATCATTATGATTTGTGTAATATAATTGTATTTAAAGTATCTGATTATGATTGAACACAGCCAATTGACTTTTAATGAACTATGAAAAATTTGTACGCTAAACTTTAATTATTTTTTGAAAGAAAACGTTTTTTACATAATTCATTGTTTTTTTTATTAAAAATTAAATAACATATTTATTGTTTCAGTTGAAAACTCAAAGGAAGATATAACAACAACTTATAGTCCACCTCGAATTGAAAATACAAGTATTTAATATTTAAATTATATTTTTATGAGATTATACAATGGTTTTTTATTTCAGGTGGTTATGGTAATGTTACCAAAAATTCCACGTCGAGTACAAAAAGTTGTATGCGTTGATTATATAGTATTATTAAACTTAAATACATATTGATCAATCTTTTTTAGATTCTACTGATTTATCAACAATATCAACTGGAACAGATGACAACAAATCTTTGAGTGAAACAAGCTCTTTACCAAGTGATAAGAATACATATTTCTTTGATTTTTTTCCATTAAAACTAGTTGCAGAATCGAATTGATTTTATTTTAAATTTAGTTATTTTATTAAAAAACATTACTTCTCTTGTTTCCTAGAATCGGATGATTCATCTTCAATTATCACAACAACTGATAGTTCAGTTACAACACCTACAACTGATATTTCAGCTGCACCAACTACAACTGACAGTTCAGTTACAACAACTACCACTGGTAGGTCCACTACAACAACTGCAGCTGATAACGCAGCTACCACTGGTAGGTCAACTACAACAAGTACAACTGATAGCTCAACTACAACAACTATAACTGATAGTTCAGTTACAACAACTGCAACTGGTAGGTCAACTACAACTGATAGCTCAGTTACAACAACTGCAAGCGATAGCTCAACTACAACTGGTGGATTAACTGCCACAACTACAACTGATAGTTCAGCTACAACAACTGCAACCGATAGCTCAGCTACAACAACTACAACTGGTAGGTCCACTACAACAACTACAACTGATAGCTCAGTTACAACAACTGCAAGCGATAGCTCAGCTGCACCAACTACAACTGATAGTTCAGTTACAACAACTACCACTGGTAGCTCAGTTTCAACAACTACCACTGATAGCTCAGCTACAACAACTGCAACTGATGGCTCAAATACCACAACTACAACCGATAACTCAGCTACCACTGGTAGGTCAACTACAACAAGTACAACTGATAGCTCAGTTACAACAACTGCAACCGACAGTTCAGCTACAACAACTACACCTGATAGCTCAGTTATCACAATCACCACTGGTAGGTCAACTACAACAACTACAACTGATAGCTCAACTACAACAACTACCATTGGTAGGTCCACTATAACAACTACAACTGATATTTCAGCTACAACAACTGCAACTGATAGTTCAGCTACAACAATTACAACTGATAGTTCAGTTACAACAACTACCACTGGTAGGTCAACTACAACAACTACCACTGATAGCTCAGATACAACGACTGAAACAGATATTTCAGCTACCACAACTACAACTGATAGCTCAGCTACAATAACTACCACTGGTAGGTCAACTACAACAACTGCAACTGATAGCTCAGTTACAATAACTACCGCTGGTAGGTCAACTACAACAACTACCACTGATAGCTCAGCTAAAACAACTGCAAATGGTCGATCAACTACAACATCTATATTGAAACCAACGATTGATGAAAAGCCCGCATCTAATTTCGTTGCACCGAATTGTTCCGATTCAAGTGTAATTGGACTTTTTTGTAATATTTCATCTCAACCATGCGATATCTATAAACCTTGTCGAAATCTTGGTATTTGTACGAATAATTTAACATATCCTCTTGGTTATACATGTCTATGTCAACCTGATTTTAGTGGCACGAATTGTGAAACTAATATTCAACCATGTCACTTAAATACTTGTTTACATGATGGTAAGTAATCATAGTTAATTTGTTTTCGTATTTTTTATCATAATAATTAAAAAAATATTTTCTTGTATATAAGGTAACTGTACTAACGTTAATAGTACACACTTTTTCTGCAATTGTACAGATGGGCGCACTGGTATCAATTGTGAAAATTTAGTTAATTATTGTCATAATGTTACTTGTCTTAACAAGGGTATTTGTCAACCATTACTTCTTGATTATGAATGTAGATGTGTATCGAGTAGTTTCACAGGCGATCATTGTCAAAACGTAGCACAAAGTCTAGTTGTTCACCAGTTCGTTTCAAAAACATTTGGTTATATTGCTATTATTGCTATATTGGTAGTTGCCGGTTTTGTCGTTATAATGGATATTTTAAAATATGGGTTTGGTATTGATCCAGTTTGTAAAGAACGTGATCTTCTTCGACGTCGCAGATCTCGATTTAGACAAAGCAATCTTCAAAAACAAAAACTTCAAAACAAACTTTATTTGCGACATTTGAGATAAATATTATCATTGCAATAAATCATTTCATTTATTATAGACAATACATATAGACAGATTTAATATTAAAATTTACAAAACAGTCAAAAAAAACATTTATATTTAATCATTATTTTTGTTCGTAATATCGTATAGTCATCTTGATATATATTCTTTATTGTAATTGTGTAATGTGAACGTGTTTATTAAAATATTTTAAAATTAATTTTTTAAATAATTAGAATTGATACTACGAAAATTAGGATATATATCTTTTATCAAATAGTTTCGTTTGATATTCACACATTTGATTATCTTCACACTCGTTAAGTTATTAGCATGGCGGTCGACTATCAAAAGTAATCATAATCTCTTATTTATGTATCAATAGATAATAGTTTGCTTGATCATGTGATTTATTGAAATGAAAAAAGTTATTGAATTTGTTTTGACTGATATCAATGTCATACTTAAAGTAAATTATATGTCTATATTGACATGTGAAACGTATAGTACGATATAAATCATAAGTTTTACCTAATTACGATCGATCGATCGCTATCTAGTGTTAATAAATAAGACATCATCTGATTTAATATCTCTCGAGCGACATCTATCCACGCGAATCGTAAATATATCAGTAATAAAAACTGACAGTTATTATAGATTTGTTATTTTGACATTGAAAACTAGAATATGAATAATTTCAACTGAAAATCATATATAAATTTTCATTAATCTACTTGCATTGGTCAATTATCATTGAAGAAAAAGATGTATTGCATGCATACGAACGAGTTGTCTTCTTCTATGGATTGTCATGAGTCACGGTATTTTTAAATATTTGCGTTCGGTAAGGACTGACTAGCTCTCGATTACTATCAATCGATTGATGGTACACGATAACTAATGAAGCATGGTTTGTTATACCTATTTCTTCTCACATTTATTTCCTATTCGAAAGAGAAAAAAAAGCGATTCACTTCTTATTCAAACAATCAATTTTATTCTATATTTTTGTAGATGTCTTGGTACAAACATCATGACTCTTCATTGGAAACGATATCGTAGTACTGAAAGTTTGGACGACGAGAGTAGTGTTGAAGTGACGGTTAGTTTAAAGATTATTTTTCTATATTGAAATAGGTTAATATCCTTGATCTATGGATTAGATTAAATAGAAAAAAAAGGAATTTGTTACAATTTTAATACTCTACGTGACTGGAATAGAAGTGTTACATCATAAAACCAAGAAATAAAAATGAATCATCGTTGTTCCAGTTATTAGCTTGTTTTTCTCTGCCGTCGATACTACGACTATTTCTAGTTGACAGACATCATAACGATCAACATATCTGGATCGATAAAAGAAAGAGGAGAGAGAGAGGGAAAAAAAGAAGAAGAAGAAGAAGGACTGTTACAATAAGATTCAGTATTGTATATTATCAATGGAATTCATGAGAGTAACGGAAGAGGTAGAAAATAATAAATATCATAGGATGATTATTTTTTTTTATTTTATGATAAAATTTAGGTTCTTCGACAACATTGGAAACAAATTTTACAAATATTTCAAAAATCTTTAGTTGATCAAGATGATATCAGTTGTGTAATATCACATTTTCATCACGCAGTCACTTTACTTACTAATGAAGTCGCTAGTCACGATCGTCCCGGTCCTGTACTCTTATATTTTATTTCGGAATCTATACTTGATACATTCTTTATTTGGTCATTAAGTTGTCCGGAATATGCATCTGAACTTAAATATCATCAATTACGTTGTTTTGAATTTCTTCTTAGTCGGTCTCAACATGAACTTCT